TTTGAGTGTGTGTGTGTATGCGTGTGTGTGAGTGTGTGAGTGTGTGAGTGTATGTGAGTGTATGTGAGTGTATGTGAGTGTATGTGAGTGTATGTGTGTGTGTGTGTGTGTGTGTGTGTGAGTGTATGCGTGTGTGTGAGTGTGTGAGTGTATGTGAGTGTGTGTGTGCGTCTTAGGTCGGGAGAAGAAAAAGGGCCTGGAAATGTCTAAAGAACACGATGTCATGTCTAGTCTTCATTGGGAAAAGCCCTAAAATGTTAATAACAAACACAAATCCCCCGATCGATTAGAATAACAGCTGTTGAGTAAGTCTAAAGCGCTTCAGTTTTTCTGAACAAGTTTTCGTTTTCCTTAAAGGTTAATTAATTCGTTTTCATCCATTCATTCCTTTTCACTAGCTTCTATCTATTTTCATTCCCTTAAAAAATTCCTTCTGCCAGTAATGTATGTTAATCTGCCTCTCTGGTCTTGTCTTTCTTTTGTTTCTTTTCATTCTGCCTGCCTACCTGCATTTCTCTCTGTTACTGGTCGGCCAAGAATTGAAACCATTGTCATCCCAAGGAATTACTGTCATGTCCTACATTCCCTATCCCTCTCGGAGAAGGGATATTACAATTTCTCCTTTATGTTTTTATTTGTAGTAGTTTTCATTTTTCTTTCACGTTTTTTCATCTTTCTCATCTTGTTTTTGTTTTCAACCCAACTTTAGTACCGACATCTGTTGGGTGACTTGATGTCACGTGGATTAGACAGTGGCGGTGGGTAGTGAAGGGCTCACGGGCTTGAGCCCCTATCCCCTCCCCAGCCACCACCCCAACTCTATCCCAAAGTAAATGGAAGTTTCTCCATAATGAAATAAGCAGTTGAAACCGTTATGACCGCACGGAATGAGCACAGAGTGATCAACCGGGTGGCTTGCTCGCTTATCCAATCACTGTTGTCCCCGCTTACAACTACAGTAACCCAGCAGCCAATCAAATGTCTTTAGGGCTCAGCAAAGACGAGCCGTTTTCCAACAGTCCGTCCTTAATGAAACTCTTCTTGTAAAAAGGTAGAAGACTGGGAAAAAATAACATTGTGCCGAGCTTGGGGGTACCGAGGGCTCACGCTCTCCTAGCCCTGACAAAGGGGTGAAAGTTTACGACACACTTTCCCTCACTGACACAGATACATATGCGCTCATTGGTTCTATGTTGGGGTGTGTTCAACTTTCTCGACTACACGGCCTAATCCAGCTCATAGAAGTATTATGTTTGAAGTGCTGTGTGTGGATGTTTGTGTTTGTGCTTCTGAGATTTAAAAGTTACAAATTTTTCATCACAAGAAAACTAATTAGAGGAAATTTGGAGGTGAATCGGCTTCGTCCCCACCATCAACAAGAATTTAACTAAGAACAAAGAGATTGAAAACAAAGGCAACTCTTCTCGTTTGAATAGTTCTCAAACTGCCGTGGCTCACCGTGAGTATAGAAAAAAGCATCACTGTTTAATTCTTATTGCTTTCTATTTGGTGGTAAAAAACCGGAAGAATCCTAAGCCCCACCCAAATTTTGGTCCACCCATCGCCACTGGTATTAGACACCCCCCAGAGCAGTGCTACTGACTGAAGTGTCTTTCTACCATTTCCAAAGGGAAGACATTAACCTGTTTTTTTACACAGTAGAATTGTAAATGGGCTGAACCACCAATGTCATGCTCATAGCTGTGCCTGAACTACAACAGGGAACTGCTGCTTTCTCTGTCCTTATCCTTACTATTGTCATTTTACCTCTACTTTTTTGTATGTTTGTCACACTCTTGTGACCCGTTATTTCCGGAGTACCTTTATAGTCGATTTAGACTTTGTGCTGTTGAAGCTTGAGAGGTGAGCAGAATAAGTCTGATTCCCTGTGAGGACTTCTCTGTTGACATCCACTGCTTGGCGCTCATATGACCGTATTATGCAGTTGCGAGCGCCGTAAAACCTCTACCCAAAAAAGAATTATAAAAAAAACAACAACAAGAAAAAACACGTACTACACATTGGTTCAATTACCGTGCGGAGAGAATTTTTACAAATCGAACAGTTTGATCTTTCTCCCGAGACGTTGTCTGTCTGCAAGGCTTGGTCCTGACAGGCAGGGTCAAAGACAGTCGTCTAAATGATCTAAATTACATCCATTTGGGTTATTAAAAAAACAACAACACCTGAATCAAATAAATAAAACAGCGTTACGACACGATGGAATCAGGACCTTGTCAATTAATTTTGGTTTCATAGAGTTACTGGTATAACCTTAAAGCTTGTTCATCTGTCTCGGATTCGAAAAAAAAAATAAACCCATATATCTTGAATATATGTCGAGATATTTGCTATTGACGGATATGAGTTTCTGAGTAAACATTAAATTAAAGGAGCTGACCCAAAAATCAAACATTCGATACGAATTAACAACCCGGCTGTAAAATGCTGTTTCCTTTGATTTTATCGTTTTGACGAGCGCCTGATTTCACCATGATGCCTCACAAACTTGTTATTTTAAATTCCATGTTAGCTGTTACTTACGCCTGTCGTCATAATCATATGAGCGAGTGATGCAAGAACCATTACAGGGGGCCAGATAGGCATTCTGTACGCGGTCGTTCTTAGGGCACTGTGAGTAGTAGTTGCCTTCAAGATCTACGGCTACACACGAGTAGCACTTGAACACACCGTCGTCCTCTGGAAAAAATGGTGAGAAAGAGTGGGGGTGGGGTGGGGAGGAGGGATTGGGAGGTCAAAGAGAGTCAGAACAGGTCGAAGTTCAAAGGGGAGAGTTGATAGTTTGGTCTCTCTCTGTCTCTGCCTCTGTCTCTGACTCAGTCTGTCTGTCTGTCTGTCTGTCTGTCTGTCTGTCTGTCTGTCTCTCTCTCTCTC